CTACTCTCGCCTTTCTTTTTTTTTGGGTATGACCATCCGATATTCAGAAGCTCATTGGGCTACTGACTAATCCGAATTTGAGTCGGATAGGACCCAATGGGCGGCAAAGCTCTCTCTCATGAGTTTTAACGGAGCTGCATTCTCAGGACTTGAACTCAAGATCTCTGATTAAACTGGAAGAGTTCCAGCCAAATCATCCACCCGCTCATGGGTCTACTCTCGCCTTTCTATCAATGATATTTACTTGCTTATATATATATATATATATATAAATAAGTATATCTATTTCCAACCAATATATAAATAAGTATATCTATTTCCAACCAATTTTGCTGTAGACTTTTAAAACCTTACTGATTTTTTTGGTTAAATATATGGATGAGTACCCATTGTACTCTATTTTTTAATAAAAACATTTTGATTCATAAAAAAAAATAAAAAAATAAATAAGTATATCTATTTCCAACCAATTTTGCTGTAGACTTTTAAAACCTTACTGATTTTTTTGGTTAAATATATGGATGAGTACCCATTGTACTCTATTTTTTAATAAAACATTTTGATTCATAAAAAAAAAAAAATAAAGAAATAAATAAGTATATCTATGTCAAGGAAGACGGGAGGAGGGAAAAAGGATTTCCTTCTAATTTAACTAAGAAATTGGAAAAAAAAATAGTTTTTTAATTAAATTAAGATATTAAATTTGTTTTTTAAACGATACTAAATGTTTAACAATGACAGTTGGTTTAATTTAACTAATTTTTTCAATGTATAACTTTTTTTTCTTGAATAATTGATTAGGTCATTTAAAAATATCAACTTATAGGTTAATTTAAACTACCATAAACTATTTTTTTAATTATCAACAGTTAAAAATAGTTAAACCGAATGGAGTCAAAATACATTGCTATCAACCCAAGCACGCTATTAACGTTTAACAATAAATATCTTAGTTAGAAAATTTTAAATAATATAATTAATGTCAAATTACATTAACATAATTGCCATATTTGAATAAAAAATTTTGATTATCATATAAAATAAAATTTGCCTTTTAGTGTGTCAGGATAATTCTTGTGTAAACATGTTAAAATTCTAAAAATTCTACTTCAAATCCATGACCGCCCTTTATTAGTTTTTAGCCCATTATGATTTTGTGGGCAAAATTTTTAAAAATAGCCCAAATTTAAAAAAAAAAAAACAAAAACAAAAAAAAGGGGTTTTTCTACTTTTATATGGTTTTCATGGGCAACGGCCTGGGCCCAACTAGGTCTGAACAGCAGACCAGCCAAGGTAAAATCCAACCCATGATTGGCCCATGTGGTGCGTTATCGGCCTAGAATCGGTCTAAACCTAAAAAATTTAAAATGCTCGTTTTTAAGTTTTTGACCTTTTTACTCCCAACCCAGTAGATAATATTACGTGTAATATCAAATCTATCCTCCAAAAACTCATGTCATATGACGGTTAGTTCTAGACGGTATTTGGTGCAAGATAAGATTTTTAACTTAAAATTTTAAAAAAATAAATAATTAGAATCGATACAAATTAAAATCATGATTAAAATCAATATTATCTTGATTGTCATGTAAAGTGAGTGAATTGAAATCTTGGTTGCAGGTGGAACCAAGGCCACCAATTTTGGACTTGAACTGGAGCAGACTATCACAAGTGCCATCACTAGGTGTCTTCTTTTTCTTCTTCTTTTATTTTCTTTTAATTTTTTTTAATTTTTTTTTAATATAGTTGAATCAATACTTTCCGACTGATTTTATATCTAAACTGATTGAATGGATAGAATTGAACCAATTCAGTTGATCGATCTTGTCCAATTTTTAAAACCATAACCCCAGCTGCCTTTCCTTGTTGTAACTCCTAATGGTGTCCAAGAGCACATTTAGAAAATTAAAATCTGTCAATTTTCAAATGAATTTTGTCAACAACTAAACGAAGTGCAACAAGAAACTAATTTGTCCTATATATAAAGTTTCATGGGACAAGTAATATATTTGATTAAGCTCTTGCAATCATATTTGACTATTTCGCTCTCTGATTCGCTTTACTTTTGAATTTTGTGAAGAGGCCGAAAAGGTGATTACGCACTTGTCAAGGCTACAAGGCAATGCATAATTCATATTATGCTAACTCCTCATTTTATTTTAATGTAAATATGGAAAAAACAAAGGCTACAGGTAATGTACAATGTATGTTTGCCAAATTACAGAGTACATGCGAAGTAACCTGCTGCATGTTTACATATAGTATATATAACAGTCATGATACAAGAGGTCTCTTAACAATTAGCAAGGTAGAAAAACAAATAGAATCAATGTCCGATCGGGTTTACGGCCGATCGAGTTTAGCAGGTTTGTGTCCCTCGCCAGGGCTAGGGCCAGAGTTCTTTATGATAGCCTTATTTCCTAGTCCAAGAGTTTGAAGATTCTTATACCTGTGTCCAACGCCTGGACTCGGACCTGAAACCTTGACAGCATCGAGAGACAACCCTTTAAACATGTCCTTTATCTCTTTAATGAAATCCGCACTTTGCGACTTCGAATCTCTCAATGGCCTTGCTTCAGATGCGTACAGCATGGAACTCATGAACAAGAGAGAAAGAAGAAGAATGGAAAGGATTTGTACTTTAACCATGTTATATGAGGGTTTTGGAAGTCCTTTTTTAAGTTTGAGTATATAAGAAGAGAGTTGATGGGATTCTATTTATAGTACTCAGAGTGTTTAGGGTGGAGGGATCAAATGATAATAGTGGTGGGATTTATTTTGACTAAGAGGGCAGTGTCCAATTGAAAGCATGTCCCATTTGGAATTGTTGAGATGCCGCCACCTCAGGTTCAATGTTATGGCTAGGGAGCCTACAAGGTAGGTTCATCACATGACACAAACTTTGAAGGAGAAAACGTTGAAGTTTGGTCTCAAACAATGACACCACGAATTTTAAGTGTTGAAATAATTATTTTAATATATATATATATGGATTAGTATTTATTCGTTTTACCTCATAAAGATTAAGAGGAAAATTATTCAAAAACTACGTAGTTTTAATGAAATACTATAGGGAAGGATAAAAAACACTTTAATTCATGCTTGAAAAATAAGGTATTTTAGTATTTTTCAATGCAATAGGGATTTATTGAAATGATATAATTTTGAGATGATTTTTTTCATAATCTTTTTGATGTAAGACGAATAGACATTATTCTCATAAATATATATTGAACGAATTATAATAAGAGTGGAAGGATTCAAACCTCAGCCCATAAGTTGGGAGGATGCACTTTTAATGTGATTTAAAGTCATCAAGTTAGTAGGTTCAAATACTATCTTAATATATATTTTTAAATTGACAATTCATATAAATTCACATTAATGTTAAAAGATTATAAATAAATCACCTCTAATTTGTAGTTGTTGAATTTTGATTAATAATATGAAGAATAAAAAATTTTTTAGTCAAATGTGACTCTTAATTGATCAAAGCAAAATTTGATTAAAAAAAGAGCCTACATTGTTTTCTTTTTCAAAAAATGTAAAGTTTTGTTGGCCAAAAACCACATTCTTAGTTGAAAAGGAAAGATCACAAAAAACAAGCGAATGAATTGAATCTCTGGCAGATTTTAGATTTAGAAGGTGGAAGAATTTTGAGTTGCGAAAAGGCCAGATGAATGTTAGAAAGCAAAAAAGTCTGTTCCTCCACATGTTTTCGTCCCTACTGGAATTTGCCTTTTTTAACGGTCTAAATAAAAAAAATTCCTTTCGGCAGACTGAAACTAAACTGCCACTCAGATCGAGAAAATGATCTGTTGATATTTTGTCAATTCAGTTCAGAAAACACCAACACCATTATTACTCATCAGCACACAAAATTTGGACTTAGGGTTCAATAATGCAAAACGAAAACAGGACAGGTCCTACACCCTACTGTGCAAATTAATCTTGAAATTTTCATGTATTAGTATTCCCATTTTCTTGTAATTTTTACCTTGTGCTAGTTCAGACTAGTTGTTAAAAAATAGTTAATAATTGGTAATTGATAGTCAATAGATGATAAAAATATTTTTTTAAATATTTTTATATAACTAATAAATGATATGCTTAATTTAGCTCGATTAAAGAATAACTAAGAGATGATAGTTGATATTTAATGTTGGATGGTTGTAGTTATTTATAATATTTTTCTTGATTTTGAGTTGCCCAAAGAGAGAGAAAAGTAACTCGCTCCCATTCGTTAATACTCTTTATACGTATGTCATATGATTTAAATCCTTGTTACCAATGACTAATTTGTTATTTATAATTCAAACATCTGTATTTATCTTATTATAAACAAAGAATCACATATAGTTAGAACTTGAGAAATTTTAGGAGGGGCCACAAAATTTTGAGGGAGCCAACTAATTAAGAAAACTCATAGAGTGGCAAATGAATAAAATATCTACTAAAATTTAAGGGTTTCAAAAATTTTTAGGGAGCATGGGTTTTAGCTCCATTATCTTCCTCTCATTGCTAATAGTTAAACCAAATAAGACCAAAAATATCTTCACAAACACCCTATTCAATTGCTTAGAAACTAACAATTATCAATTGTCCCCACTCAGTAAAAACAACCGCTCCTTTATAACTCTATTTCATAATTGATGGCTTCAATAGTTTAGCAATACATATCAACTAGAATTAGAGGCGAGGTAGAAGAGGGTAAGTACTAATGAGATGTACTTTATGTACTCTAATTTCTTATTTAGCATTGATTTTATTTACATTTGGATGGTTAAAATGTGAGTGGATTTTACATTATTTTTATTTTTGTGCAGAAAAGGACTTAAATGTTAAGTGCAAATCTTTTGAAAGTTTAGGGATGTATTGTAAGACAAAAGTCGGTATTAAGTACCTAAATTTGAAGTGTATCATACACGGGCATGACGCCAACGCGTGTCGACACTTTTATTAGGGTGTCGAAACCTGAAACAATGTTAAGCAGTTTTGTTTTGAAGTTTCTAATTATCCACACAGGTCTCACTTCTTTTTAAACAGGTTTTTTCTCAATCTTTAGCAATACTTATTTAATATCAAATCTTGGAGGCTTTTTGGAGATCAAGTGAAAGGAGCAACAAGGAACTCAACATCAAAAAAAGATTAAAAGTTTAGATTTTATATTATTAATTTTTTTCGAATGACTTTATATTATGAAATTAATTTTTTAAAATAAATTTTAAAGCATAAAAATTAAAAAGAAATTCTATATTAAATTCACTACTCTATATTGTAATTTTAGATAACTAAGTTAATTTATAATTAAATAAAAAAATTAAATATTTTAAAATAAATATAATAGTATTTAATATTATAAAAAAATTTAAAAACAAGTAAAATCAATTTTAATAATGTTTGTCTTTGAATTTTTTTATAATATCCAATATTTTTATATTTATTTTAAAATATTTAATTTTTTAGTATAAATTAGTTTAATTTTCTAAAACTACAATATAGCATAATAAATTTAATATAGAATTTATTAGCTCATCCTCTTGTACTTAAAGCAACTAGAATTTAACTTGAGTTGCAAACTTGCACGTACCGACCTAACTTTGAGTTGAGTTGACATCTAGTTCTGACTTACAACAATTTTCGTCCTAGCTAGCAAAATTCAACTATAGGTACTGTCAGAGCTTCAAAGGATCTCCACCAATTGATGGAAATAACTGTTAGCTTAACTTTGAAATAAATCCGAAGTTCAGGAAAACGACTCTATAAGTTAGGAAATCGACCCAAAAGATGGGTAAAATACATTTCGTGGAAGTTAAGACAAAGTAGGATGATATCATTTTCAGGTTATTGGCTACATAATTTATTGTTGGAATAATGATAAAAAAAGTCAAAAAAATAAAAAAAAAACGATTTCATTGGATAATTTTAAATTGACTTATCACATCAATAATATATTAATAAAATAAAATACATATTTATTTTATTTTTTTAATATTTTTTTATGTCATTAATTTTATAAATTCGTTTTATTTTTTAGTCTCTTGTATCATTATCTTTATTGTTAAGAATAATTAATTGTTAAATTATTACATAATAATTGATAAAATAATATATATTTATTATTTAATAATTTAAAATTAATTTATAAATTAATATATATTTTTTTTTGAGCACGGAGGAATTAGGTAGAAGAGATTGAAAGGGACGAGATTTGAAACCTAACACCTTAAGTGAAATATTCTCAATGAACTTAATAAGTGATCACTTGAGTCATTTATGATTTTTTTATAAATTAATATATATATATTTTTTGAACATATTTGCAAGAGGCGGGATTCGAACCCAGTCCGGAGAGAAGGAAATGCACGGGGTGGCTATTGCCACTAGGCCGCAAGGGCCAGGTGCTATAAATTAATATTTTTAAGCATTTAAAACAATTATAAATTAATAAAATTTGATAAATTAAACACACATATAATTGCAATAGGCCGGTTGCGTGGTGGCCCATTTTATCCAAAGATATTTGGACTTTTAATTTGTTCCATCAAATCAAACAGCCTGACATTCGTTAGTGTCCTAAGTTAGTTCTGGCATACCGAAGTGTTGAACCAAGGGCAACAGCTACGAAGGATGTGGTTTGAAAATATTTGATTGTATCATGTATCATCGTAAGTCCACATCGGAGGTATCAGTGTCATATTAATATAAGAAATCTCTGGAGTGTTTTGTTAAAATTATCAGGATGAGATACAAAGATTGCCAACAAGAGCAACTACAATTTACTGTTAAAATAATCGATTTGAACTTCTATAATGCTACGTAATAAATTCTAACGTATAAAAATAAAAATAAATAAATAAAAAAGATATAGATTTTTCTGAAGTTTCTCTCAAGACTTTCTATGCGGCTGAAGCAACAGGTCTGATATGGTTTTATTGTTTTCAATTTGCGTGATTAAGTTGTCTATGCATGGATTCGTAGTACCAAAACGTTTCTTTTCCATTCACAATGCATACAAGTCAAACAAATTTGGAACAGGTTATTTCGCAGCAGCCATATGTAGGATTAAATGATACTATTACTCCATTGGGAATTTGCATGACAAAGCTTTCCCAGCAGATGTGTGCTAATGCTACCTGTTCCAAGTCAAGTAAACCTTTGTAATGCTTCTGCATCTGCTTTATACTGAGTTTAGATTTGGTTTGGGTGTAACAATACGAAAACAGCAAACTACCGTGGAATGAAAATCTTTGAATGCGATACTTGTGAGCAAAACTTACAATTCTCAAAGAGCATTTTGCTTGAGGATTCAGGGAGGATTCTTGATGGAGACTGAGAACCCATGTAGGAAGGAGAGGAGGAAAACAGAATACAGCAGAAGAAAGAAGAAAGTTTCGCAAAAGGAAGAGGAAGAAGGAGGTGGGGGCGAGGGGGATGGAGGAGATGAAAATAGGGAGAGGAACCCAGGAAACACAGCATTTGCGTTTCCTTTTCTCAATGGTAAATAGTTAAAAAGGTGTGGTACCATTACCAAGTAGTAAAACATTGTGGCAATAACCTTCCCCTTTAGTTACGTTGTCAGTTTTTTAAAAATTGTCCTATTTCAAAAACCAGCAACCCAGCTAACCAATATTGAGTGATAAATTTCAAAAATTTTAAAACAGAAACTAAAAGCCAAAAAGAATAATGATACTAAACAGACTGGTGGCAAACGTTAGAATTACTTACAATTAATGAAAAAAAAATTCGAATGCTTTCACTAAGTTATAGATTCTCACTGCATCGCATCTAGCCATATAAAAAACTTAACATGCAAAACCATTTTTGCAATTTGCTGCTGCTTTCTTCTTAGAGCAGAATGAACAACCAAAATCATGCCCACAAGATAGCTTAGCTAATGAAATTGGGTCCAGATACTATGTTAAAACAACCAATCTAAACGGGTAAAGACACTCATTTTATTTATAAGAACACAGAAACTTTAAATGAATCAACCTAGGAAATACCAGTTTAACTATATAAGAAGGCCTGCTACTCTGCCTTAACCCCAAGAAGAAGAAGAAGAAGAAGAAGAAGAAGAAGTTTAACTATATAAGAAGGCCTGCTACTCTGCCTTAACCCCAAGAAGGAGAAGTTTAACTATATAAAAAGGCCTGCTACTCTGCCTTAACCCCAAGAAGTTTAACTATATAAGAAGGCCTGCTACTCTGCCTTAACCCCAA